AAAACACATGATTTCCGATTCCTTCATTTCCACTTCAGGCAACCAAGATGAAAAAAAAACAAAAGAAATCCCACTTGTTACAATTCAGGATACTGAACTCAAATTTCCAACTGAATAAGGTGGCCCACCCACAGCAGGGTTGCAGTCTCCACACATTCAACATTTTGAAAGTGTTTCAGCTAAGGGTTTTTGGATGACAAAATCAGCATAGTTTCATGGCAAAAACAAGTGTTGCGATTGCAGACTGCCTTAATCTGCACCTGCTTGTGAAATCAGAAAACAACAAAAGGACGAGCAAATGGGATCAGCCTACAACCGGCGCTTTCCCCTAAAGCAACACCCAAAAAAAGTTTCCAAACACCCATAACAAGAGAGGAAGCTGGACTTTCCAAACACCACATTCTTTTGGCATCCTCGTTTCAATTACTCGTTACAGTCCACAGTTGGTGCAAATGGCACACAACACCAAAAAGCTTGCACACAGATCACAAGTTGCCAAGCACAACTAAGCAAAGTACTGCTAACACGCACAAAGAGAGTGCAACAACAAGAACCACTTCTACAACATAAACAGAACCAACAAGCATTTCCAACATCCACCAAATTCCACGAACAAAAAATACCACAGAAATGTGCACTCAGGCTGGTGAAGAAGTTCATTAATCATGAGCAACAACTCCTGGCACAACGGAAAAGCAAGGAACCTTCCGAAATAATTAAAATTTTGTTCTGTGAAGATGACAACAAAAACATAAAATTTCCTAAAAAGAGAGTCCAATTCAGGCAGTAAGTCAGCCAACCAACCAAAAAACCCAGACTGAAACAATTCAAACTGAAACCAGTCAACCCACCCACCATAAAAAAGAGAAGTGCACAAAACCTTTGCCAATGGGCTTTCTCATACAAAGAAACAGAAAAAATGTGAAGAACAAGGTTGTGTCACACTACAAATAACCAAAAAAGAACAAGTAACAAAATATACCGAGGAAACTTACACAACAAAAGATAAGGGTGTAGCCTTTTTTTCGTTTTATTTTGTTTTTTTCTAGGTGGGATAGAAAACTAGGTTGTCACTCCAAAACCATAGACAATGCTCAGATAACCCAAAATGAAGTGAAAATCGTCAATGTATTTTCACAAAAAACAATATTGTAAAACATAACAAAATATAGAACACCATAAACTCGGCTGAATGCCATATAATCAAAGTACAGAGGAAGAGAAAAAAAAAGGTGGGGCTGAAGTAGGGCAGAGACATCAACAATGTCGTGACAACCAATAAAACCTCTTACCAAGACACCATTCAAGAGTCATGACATGATTGCAATGAATATGTGAGAGACAGAAACAGTCTAACATAGAAATAACCCAAGACAGTGAATCCTCNCATGATTGCAATGAATATGTGAGAGACACAAAAAGTCTAACATAGAAATAACCCAAGACAGTGAATCCTCAAAAAACAGTTAATCAATCAACACTTCACATCATGTTAGTCTTGTTAGAGAGTACAACCCAAAAAATCTAACTTAATAACTAAATGGTCTTGGAAACAATAGAAACACCAAGGATATCTAATAACAGAAATCCACATGCTCCTAACCCTTCCATGTTCAACACAGTCCTCCCAAGAAAATATATATGATTTCAGCCCACAAAGAAATTAGATAACCAAGACAAGAAAAAAGAAACCACAACCCAACAGAACTGAAGCATTCAATGTTGGCAGTCTTCTATTGTACTCCCCTGGTTTATGAAGACTGCCAATAACAAATAAAAGGCCCATGTTATTATCTAAACAGTGCCTAAACACTACTCCACCACTACCAAACAATATGAAAAGCATTTAAATCCCTTTACCTTTCAAGCTTGTCTTAAGTGATACATGTACTCATCATACTTGCCATTTTTAGACTGCATAGCAAAAACTAATAGAAATCAATGACCTCTAAAATATATCAAGGGGGAAAGTACCCAAATTATGGGCAGGCATAAAGTAGCAAACGCGAACAGAGGATGCAACAGGTCTATAAATGTACACTTAACAGAAGGAAACATGTCGTACACAAACAAAAATAGCTTTTGCCAAACACGAAGGAACTTGCAGAGCGATGGCAAAAGATTCATAAAGATGCGCATGCATGTGCGAATATAAGAAAGGCAGATAGGACCAGCTGCTCCAACAACTTTTCCTTGCAATAGATGGGGTAAGTTCTAAAGCAGTTAGGACAACAGTTACATCCTAGCAATCAAGAAGGGACTATAATGGCGTAACATATCTAATTTTCAAGAGCAGCATCACAAAACTTGAAACATCCTTGCAGCCAGGTTCATAAAAAAAAATCAGAGTGCCAAAAAAAATGATTTTGTGAGAAGCAATAGCTGAAAACATGATTGCAAAGTAATGCAACAATCCAAACCGGTCTAAACACCATAAACAACCCAAGTTCTCCCAGAAATGACATACCCAGAAATCCATGCAGAAATAATCAGTAAAATCACCATAATGAGCAACCTCAGATCACCAATGAAGATAACACTGCACCAGCAGGAACTTCATTTGCTAAAGTTTAGTATCTAACAAGAGAGTGAAAAAAAGAGAGAAGGAAATAGGGAGGCAAGAAGAAATAGAGCAGAGGGTATAGGATGTTCATACAAAAGATGAGCCCTCCAATGATTGGGGACATCTTCAGTCCAAAACTACCAACGCCAACTGAAAAACAGCACCCCAAAGAAAACCATACAAGATACCACCTCACACGGGATACATGAAGAATATGCCAATTCTGGTTCACTCCTGAGGTCTGAAAGATGTATAATAACTCATTTGCTTTTAGCGCGCTGCAAAGAGAGAGAAGACCCATGACAACATCACACGAGAAAAAAGGAAGAAAAAAGACGTCACAAATCACAAACCACTTTATCTATCAGTTTTTAATTGTTCTGGTAGGGTAGTAAGAAAGAGTTGAAAAAGCCAACGGGGTGTAGATTTTCAACAAAACTGAACAACAGCACAAACATAAGAAAACCAACAAAGTACTCTAAAAAAAAACAAAAGTAAGAACCATTGTACCATTCCCAAGACACAGCCCAAGTATATAACTGAACCTGCCACCGGTGCACCAATATTGTCTTGCATTTTTATCAACTGTACAATAAACAGATACACTAAAAACAACACACCATGCAAATGAGAAATGGAGTATAAATCAGCATGCAGGGAAAATCCAGAGCTAGCTAACATGGGAAGACATTTAAAGTGGCCATATCAAATGCAATCTATAGCAGCTGATCCAGAAACATCGCCTTGCCCAACTTCCCTACAACAGGAAAGGGAACAGATAAAATAACAGTGGGAAATATTTTTGAATATTTTCAATCTAAATACAAAACGTAACCATATCCAAATGGAAACACCTAACACATTTCAATGCAATGAGATCACCCTTGAATCCAAGCTATAAGAGGAATGTTACGACACTTATGGTACACTAACAACCATAGAGCACTAATCCAAAAAATATTCTCCATAATAGCACAATCAAATCAATCATTGATGTCACAAAGCCCTAACACATTCCATTGAAAAGCAATAGCACTTTGAATCACGGGTATGAGAGAACAGAAATACCATAACACTTCAGGTGCACTTGAATCACGCTGAAGGCCCCATTGACTTACAAAATGGGCCAACCTGATTGCCAATCTTGCTCATCTTAAAATTGGAAGTAGCACAGCATACACTTCAATGTGCAAAATAACACAGCATGGTAGTAGTGTCATGCACAGCATGGTAGTAGTGTCATGCACAGCATGGTAGTAGTGTCATGCACAGCATGGTAGTAGTGTCATGCAGAAGCAGCAGCATCATGTACTTGTTGGCCATACCCCCTGTGTAGTAGTAATGGTGTTAAACTGACAGAAAACTAAGATGCTACAATAATGTAAATTAATCTTCATGCAGTTTTCGAAGCTATGATAATCAATTGTTTATTAGGGTATCAAAAGGACCACCTAAAAGGAGGACGTATCTTCCACACAGACACTTAAATAGAACACAATAACTTACCTTGTTGCCAAGAGTCCAGAACCAAGCACAATGCTATACAACCTCACACAGTGCACAGCAACAGGAACCACATTCTAAAGCACCAAAAAACATTTCCAACATTCTACCTGCAATGTCGTTCAAGATATTTCCCTGCTGCTACACCCAAGAACCACAAAACACAAAAAATTACAAAGAAATGGCGTTCTCAGGCTTGTGAAGTTAATTCGTCATGTGAAACAATTCCACCTATGACACAGGAGCAAAAAACTTTAGAAAATAATGAAAATGTTGTGACCTTCACTTGATAAACCCGATAAGAGCAACCATCCAAAACTGAAACAAGCCAAACCAAACACTCAAAAGTCAATCCTCTAAATGCCATTGGAAAAATCACAATGCTGGAATAATCTACATCATCAAAAATCTATAGAGAAGCAACAGAAAAGCAGAGATACAATATTTCCAATTTTACCAAAATGAGCCATAAAAAAATAGAGACCTAACAGATTCCTCCGCAATGGACGACACATGGATCATAGGAATAAGAGGTACACCAAATAACAACCATGGAAAAAATTCAAAAAAATTATTCATAGTAGCAAAAGCAAACCAATTAGTTGTAAGTCACTATAAACAAAAAAAAAGAAAGAAGCCACAACAACACAATGAGAAAAAATAAATAAATATAGACAACAATAAACCTACTCAGAAAGGGTAAACCTCCTTTATTCAGCGTTCATATGTTGTGCAAAGGATGACATTTAAAGGGGGGGCCTTTGTTTTGGGTCACAAGTTCCAATCCAGTCATCCTTACCTATTCTTCTCCTCTGGGTAGTAATGAGGGATCCATTGAGATTGATTCAAATTGGGCATGTGCATGCAAGATGTATTTGGAGTACAAAAAGAATCCTTTTCTTTCCAGTCATATCTACTGTGATGTGATAAGAAAGCGCTCTTAGTTCAATTCGGTAGAACGTGGGTCTCCAAAACCCGATGTCGTAGCTCGTAGGTTCAAATCCTACAGTGTGTATCTCCGAATCAACACACGCATTGTATTACATGTATTCAGCCTTATAGCAACCTCCACAAAAAAAAAATCAACAGGTAAGCGACAGGCTAATAAATTAGCTTATACAAAAATGCATTCAATCCGCAGCAACTGCTACAAAGCATTCTCTTCCCCAACATTTGCACAATAGCAAATGCAACAGAACCCACACCTATATATAATCTCTACTGTAGAATTCAAGCTACAAAGTTTTAACAAAATCCCCATGATAGAAACAGAAAGATGTTGACATTTTCAATCTAAGTACCACAAATGGCCAGGCCAAAATGGAAACCACCTGACACATTCTAGTGCAATTAGGTAACACCTGAACCACATGTATAAAAAAATGTGCAATAGGCCAAATAGAGTCATTAATAATACCAAAAATGGCTTAAACAATCACTGACTCCAAGATCCAAATGGAAATGGCTTAAGCAATCGCTGACTCCAAGATCCAAATGGATTAGCTCAATCCAATTACAGTACCCAGTAGAAACTCAGAATGGAGAACACCCACAACATTACCATGGGAAAGAAAAGAAGGAAATGGAAAAAACCTTGTCATAAAAGGTGAAACTCTATTTCCTTCTGTCTTCTTTAAGTTGTGAACAGAGATCACATCCACTAGATCACTTTCCAACACAAAAGACAAAAATTAAGAACTGGCTAAAGATAGCCAATCAACCAATATCTAGGAAAAAACCAGGAAAGGACAGAAAAGTAGACCTGTGCACTAGTTGAATATGCATCAGCTCCTCCAAAAGCATAGCCTTCCCCAAACATTCAAATAATAAGGATGGGAGCAGACACACACTTACAACAATGCTGAACAGTGCACAACAAAAAAAGGAAGAGTTGGAATTCTTTCACTCCAAATACAAGAGTAACAACTACTAAAAGGGAACACCAGAGCTGTTGAACAACATCTATAATATAGAAATATGGCACTTCTGGTACACTAAATAGAATAAATGGAAAAATAAGTACTCAAAAATCATATTCTTAATAGAAAAAAGTAAACCAATCCATCAATCCAAAAATTCCCAACACATCTATCAATAACTCAACCTAATTGTAGAACTTCCACACTGCAAACAACCAAAATAGAAAAAAGCCACAAGAACACTATGCAACCGAAAAAGAATGATGTCGACAGGGCATTTGGAGGTGTCTCAAGGGGAATAAACACCTAATTTGTCTCCCCATGCCTATTATTTGCTATTCTAGTATAACAATAGATAGGGAAAGCAGCATGGTAACCCCTGTAGAACAACAAAAATACATGCACAACATCAATATAAATGCACTGCCATAAAATAAACTGAAACTAGAAAAAGGAACAAAATAACAAAAAGCTAGAAGCTAACAGCCAATCTAGCAAAACTTTCATGTCCTTTACTACGAAGGGGAACAACTATACTCTCAACCAGCTCCAACTCACTTCTCCTAATATGGGGTGGGTTATTTAGACAATAAGTTCGCCAAATACAACTACAATAATACGGGTATAATAGTAAAAACGTTAGGACATGAGAAGAAATAAGGTCCTGCAGCTGAACCAGTGAAGGAATTGCCATATATGTATTTGCTGTTTTAGCTTTTGTATTAACAAGACATGGTCCATCAATTCTGCAAGCAACACACACAAGGTGTGATGCACAACAAGAACAACTACACAACCACCAAACCAAACCAGAGATTTTTTCTTAGGAAATGGACACAGCCTCAGACATAACCAAACTGGAAAATTTGCACACCTTTTGAACATCTATCCTTGTACTCGGCGTTTTGGACTGCAGACATCACAGAAGCTAATACCAAGGAGAAGTGTTGGCCTAACACCAGTGTTACAACTGAACTAATTGAAAAAAAAAAAATTATAGTCGTACTTATTATAATAGAAAAAACAAAACAACCAAGAAGAGGAGAATAAATAAAGCACCCGCAGCAGAATCCGTTTAAGATTAGCATCTATGTACTTGCCCTTTGTCTTTCTTTTCCCGCAGCCATGGTCCACCAATTCTGCAAAGAAAAGACTTAAGTACTATAAATTCTGCAAGGAACAAACATAAGGTGTTATTCATGATGCACAGTAAGAACTACTACCAAATAACGGACAAAAAAGACCAAACTGGAAAAAACTCTTCCCATAGATGGACACAGTTCCTGGCATAACCAGACCACAGTATGCGCACACCTTCTCATCTCGGGGATTTGGACTGCACACAACAAGAAGCTGACACCCAGAAGGAAAACGGAAAAAAAATAAAGACAGAAGAAAGCAACAGACCCATGGTTCAAGGTCGCGGTATCGGCCCTTGACTTGGGGGCCACTGTGACACATTTGTTGCAGCGTCGCGTCGCGGCGCAGTATCGGCCGATACGCCCAAAACATTATATAGAAGGCTCAAAAAAATTTGAAAAAATTGTAATAAATATTAACATCATCATCCATGCATCATATCCCTAAAAGACATTATTTACCACATTAATTATTGCAAAAAAGAATAATAAGGATGTTACCGAAAAATATTTATTACCATCTATGTTCAAGGTTAATATAATTTAATTTGTAATTTTTAAAAATTATAAAAAAATATAAGTGTATATAAATGGTTAACTTAATAGCTTTAAAAATGAAAATCTACTTATAAAGAAATTCTTCATTTAATTATTTAATATGTATGTAATTAGAAATTATATGTATTTTTTCAATTATGTATTTTTAATTATTAAATCATCAATATACATATACAAAAGCAAACTTAGGAAGTTAAATTCTAATTAGATTATATGATAAATACTCAAAATTATATAATTAAAAAAATTGGACCAAAACTGAAAAAGCAAAAAGAAGGGGGGGGGGATAAATCTTAGGCCATGCCTCTAGTATTTTGACCCAAAAAAAAACACTCTGTTCAGCTCTCACAGTCTGAGACTCAGACTCAGACTTACGACGAACAAGAAACATGCGATCGAGATCGAGAGAGAGAGAGAGCACAGAGACAATGGATCAGATCTGGGAGTCAACGCTGGTCACTGAAGGCTCGCTGGGAGGGATCTGATCTGAGTCTCTGACTCATCTGCGATGCTAGGGCTTCTTCAATGATGACCAAGAAGAAGAAGAAGAAGAGGCAAAAGAAGAAGAAGAGGGGGCTTTTGCAATGATGCTAGGGCTTTCTGTGTCTTCTATTTTAACAGGTATGTCTTACAATTCTTTCAATTTTTTTTCTATTTCTGTAATTGTAAAAAATGGTGAATTTGCTTGTATTTTTTGTGACTTAAGGTTTGAAAAATGCCCATTTAAGTCTCAAATCTTCTTCTCCATTTCTTTTTTTCCTTTGTCATTTTGATTTTGGAGATTTTGCTCAAGTTTCTACCAGTATCGGTCCGAGTCCGATGTACCTCGCCAGATTCAAGTGATATGAGTTTGAGTCAAGCCGATACTACCGAGTTGTAACCGATTCACTGCCGAGTCATGAGTGACTTGTGATATTTACGTATCGTGTATCGATATCGGATCGGTTATGGCTAAGACGACCAAGTCGTATCCGTCTCGGCCGATACTTTGAACCTTGAACAGACCAAACATAAGGAAATACCAACAGAATCCCATTGATTGGTTATCAATCACTGCAAGTGGGAACAGGCTTAAGTACTATAAATTCTGCAAGGAACAAGCATAAGGTGTTATTCATGATGCACAACAAGAACTACTACCAAACAACGGACAAAAAAGACCAAACAGGAAAAAACTCTTCCCATAGATGGACACAGTCTTGGGCATAACCAGACCACTGTATGTGCACCCCTCCTCGTCTCAGGGATTTGGACTGCACACAAAAAGAAGCTGATATCCAGAAGGACAACCAGAAAAAAATAAAGACAGAAGAAAGCAACAGACCAAATATAATGAAATACCAACAGAATCCCATTGATTGCTTATCAATCACTGCAAGTGGGAACAGACTTAAGTACTATAAATTCTGCAAGGAACAAACATAAGGTGTTATTCATGATGCGCAACAAGAACTACTACCAAACAACGGACAAAAAAGACCAATCCAGAAAAAACTCTTCCCATAGATGGACACAGTCTCGGGCATAACCAGACCACAGTATTTGCACACCTTCTCGTCTTGGGGATTTGGACTGCACACAACAAGAAGCTGATACCCAGAAGGACAACGGAAAAAAAATAAAGACAGAAGAAAGCAACAGACCAAATATAAGGAAATACCAACAGAATCCCATTGATTGCTTACCAATCACTGCAAGTGGACTACCCCTATAATTTATCTAAAATCAAATAATACACATGAACTGGCTAAACACCATAGAATTACCAAGAATCAAGACGCCAAAATTGACCACCTGACGTCATGAAAAATAACCCAAGAATCAGACAATACAAACTCCAAAAAATCCCGATCATCTGCCTTGAATAGTAGCGAAACACAGGCTTCAACAGAAAATCCAATCCGTTACTAAACGTCATAAGAAGAAAATAAGTGGAGTCTAAAAGAATAAAATTCAAAGATCAATCAACCTAGCATGCGATTCTGCAACGCATAATATCAAGTAGAATTAGGGCATCGACAACTTTCATTATACATAACCCAGAACTAGATTTCAGCAAATTAACCAAAAAGTTACCTTATCTTACAATTCTTGCCCGCCTTACCGACATAACTCAAAATAACTGAGCAAACTAGGAAGCGACAGCAATATATCCTACAAGAAGCCAAGCTATTGGAAGAAAACTTCACGGCCATATTGAACGATTGCAAAATAAATCCAAAAGCAACATAAAAATAGCGAAAGGCAATCACAAGGCCAACGAAAAGCCACCGAACGCCACCAAACCCTAGACTTCAAAAGAATTTACAGAGAACCGTCAAAAATTACATAAATATACGGAAAAGGCAATCACAACGCCAACGGAGCCATCGAAACCCTAGACCTACCGTGGCTTACCA